GGGGGGGGGGGGGTGCTGGTGGAAGACACTGGTGGGCAAAGTGCGTCGCCGCTTTATTACTCCTTCAGCGGCAGCAACAGGGAATGTGCCTGTTCCTCTGCCTTATGCTGGACAGACACCTCATGTGTTTTCTTCAGCGAGAACCAGGGAGAGCCCGTGCCGTGCCGTGGTGGCACTGCAGACCTCTGAGCGGTGGAACAGAGAGCACCGAGAGGTAGTCTGTTCCAGGCGGATGGGAAGGAGCCCTGAGGACGCCTCAGGACGCCCTGGGGGCTGTTTTGCCATGTCCCAAGCAACTGCCTAATTTGTGAAGACCTAGCATTGGCCAGGATAAAAGAAAAAGATCAGGTCTGTAAGTCTTACTTCCTCATCACGTATGGACAAGAATGCTTTTATTTTCCAAAGGGTTGAAATGCCCAGAAGTCAACGCCCACAGGAACATAGGATACTTAAGTGGTTAAGCTCTGGGATATTCCCATTTGAAAGTGTCTTTTCTGGAAACAGCGACTCTTATTACAAGGATGATCTTCCAAAAGAAGTCGTCATCTACTGTGCACTGCACCTTGTGCAGTGTGCACTGGTAAGTCACGCAATTCAAGCACAGAGGTTTCCATACATACTGCGTCATCTCTACTCTCACTTTTTCTCCCTTTCTCACATCTTAAAGAGACTCAAAAAAACACTATATTGCCAGAAGTCTGCTATTATCAACTACTGCAACTATTTTTAGCTGCTCTTCCAAACTTTACAGAGGCCTTCAGATCCTTTAACAGTGAATGTGATAAATTAGCTAAGGCAACAATAGGGAGTCACTGGCCACAACAAAATAAAGAAAAAAGGACAGGGCTGATCTGCACTTCTTGGGGAACTGATGAAAGGAAGAAGACATAGGTTTGATAATGGTCCTACAATGAACACCAGAGTAAAGACAGATGATCTCCAACATGAATAGGGACAGTCTTCAGAGAGAGAAGTAGTAAAAGGAGAAATGACACCAGATAGAGTAAAAACCAACAACTCAGTTCAATGAGATATAGCAGCAGCAAAGGAAAGGAGCTCTGTAGCTGACAGATACTGTATGTCTCGACTTTTACAGAGGAGAATAACTTTGTGTATCACAAGGAAAAGGCAACCTAGAAACAAATGGTGTGGACAAGAGAGAAAGCTGTTTTGAGATGGCAGAGAGATCAAAACAAGTGAAAGAATTCAACAGCCCAAGAGGAAAGTGAAGTAGTATCCTTGGTGAAAGTAGAGGGCAGAGAAAGTTATGAATCTAAAGAATAAACAGAGAATTGGGAAAAGATTTGTTTCCCATTAAAATCCACTTGACATACAATAGCATCTTGATGAGGCCAAGCAATGAAATCTGAATCAAAATACTAATCTTTCAACAGACCCTGCAATTCAGTCCAGTCCTCTGTTGAGAAACAGGGAGCAGCAATAAATATCTCCATCAGTAATTTCCCTAGCTTTCACACAGACATCCTAAATGAGCAGCACTGCAGTGTTCAGATCTCACAGATTTGATTATGTAAGACTGACAGGTGCACTGGAAGTCAAGGGAAATGCCTCCCAAGATCTGTTAAGAACAGAAGTGACACCCCTGTGGTTGCATGGCATCAAAATAAAACCTCAAAATCTTATTTATCAGACTGGTGTTTAAATTACTTTTTGAGAGTAAAAATGGGAACTGCACAAAATACACTTTAAATGCAACTTCTTCCTGAAAGAAGGAAAATCATTAAAAAAATTGATAATACACATATTCCTTCCATTTGTTCTGCCAGCCAGCACTTAACATAGTAATTGTGTTAAAGGGCATAAAAATCAATCATTAGCAAGCTTCCAATAAAGCCATACATCTGTTTTCTTACTCTGCCTCATCTTGTTACTAATCCAAGTGAAAAAAACAGAGAAAATGAAACTCCCTTGTACTGCAGTTCTTGGACTACATACATGAAATTGTTTACAAGATGACTCCAATCTACCTATTTACTATAAGCTATTCAGCAAATGGATTTTGGCAGGGGTTATGTGTCTTTGAAAAACTCCCCAACAAAGCTGACTAATTTAGGCAGCAACACTTCCAAGCTTTTATTTTCTGAATATCTCTTCAAAACTAAAGGCAGAGGTATCCCCAACTGGGTTAGATTTTGGCTATACTGCCTCCAATCTTGTCTTTGCTCTAAGTCTTGCTTTAACCATTCTGGTTAATTTCACAAATAAAGTAAAATACAAAATGCTATACTAGTTAGGTGAGGTTTATATATTGTCTTTGAAAATAACCAAATTTCATTATCATAAATGAAGATCTACAGCAAGTACGTAGACAGAGAAATGAATTGGACCTACTGAAATCAATAGGTGTTTGTCCAGTAATGGCAAAAGGAACTATATTTCACACACAGTCTTTAGTCTTGTCCTCAGAAACGGGGGAATAAAACATCCCAGTGATGTGTCTCATAACTACAAACTTGCTCTGCTGAAGGCACACCAAAAATTTTTCCACTTCACCATCATGTCCCCTATCAAATTAGAAGCTCTAAACCCTGAAAGGGTTAAACAGAAGAGAAGAACAGAAACAATCCAATAGAATTTCCTTTTAGTCCCCATTTTGTGGTGAAAGAGACCCTGGGCTGAACCACTTCCATAAATGCAAGTAAGAAGAAAATAATTTCTTTCCAAATACATAACTGGATAATCTCATTCTAATGCAGTTGGATGTGTTTGTTCAATAGCCTATAAAAGGCTTTAATTCATAAATTACTTACACATCTTCCCCATGTTGGGAGTCATCACTTATCTCACACACAACTAGCATTAGCATCCCCAGAAAGCATGGTCTGCCAGAAGAGGAATGGCCTGTTTCAAAATGCAAAGCAAAACTACTCATTAATAAAACAAAGATGATGGGAAAGGCTGCCAAGGGGCAGCTTTATCTAACAAGGCAATAAAGTACACATGATTTAGCAAGGTGGTGACTACATTTTCTGTGTTTAGTTTGCATCGTCAATACAACTCAAGTATTCCCATAACATCACACGCACATGCTACGCAGAACACACAGGCATTTTTCAGTCAAAATATTATGTCTGGATGTACGTGAAGATCTATCTGGATGTGATCAGGAATTTTGCTGTCTGCCCCGCTGACCAGTGCTGTAACATTATATCAGTATGCTGCCTATGGCCATCAATTTATCTCTTGTCTTATGCCTGGACTGAATGTTCCTTGGAGTAAAAATGTGCTATGCAAACTCTTAGAACAGCACAAGCTTGTCCCACGATTAAGTCTTTAAAACATTACAACATTATAAACAATCACATTCAAATTTGCTAAAGTAACACAAACATTCTAATTAACTAAGCTTTAAACACTGACGTGAGTTAACACTGTGCTACCTGAAAGTATAAAATCCAGGGTTTTTTTTCTGCTAGCCTGGTTAACCACAGAGATGGTCTGTCTACATTAATTGAATTGATATATTTGTGACCATACAGAACCACAAGCATTTCAGTGCCAGGCTCTGAATTGGTAGCTAGTGATTCCAGGCCCAATTCTTTACCTTTCTGATGAGATCTGAACACCTGCTCATTCAGGAGTGAATTCCAATCAATCCATTTAATGTAGGTCTTAAAAT